GTTAGGTTCGGGTCACTACTTTGTAGTACCCAAATTAGATTTAGGTTCTGAGGAAGATTCTTTTATATCTTAAGTCCTCGCCCTTCGGGAATATAATCCCAAATTTCTAATAAAATGTCAACTTGAATATAAAATTTTCTCTTAAAATGTAAAGCCCAACATAAGATAGACTGAGGTTGTCTCTGGGCTTCTCAGAATCTGACACCTCCTATTTTTTCTCATTTGACTCGTTAATAAATGTTCAAAATTGAGCTTTCTCCTTGAAAAATCCTTACTTCTTTTCCTTGTCTTTTACGTTGTAGTCAAAAGGGTATGAAATCACTGTTTTAATTTTGTAGTCAAAAGGGTATGAAATCACTGCTTTAATCGAGAGTTTTCTTAGGAGTTTCTCTCCTAGGATGTAATTAACTATAGGGGCTTGCCTCTATAGGGATTTGAGAACCCCATACTAAAATAAATCTTGTTTTATTCATATAAAATAAGGGAAGAATCTTTGGGAACGTAGATATTTTTAAAACCTCATTTCTAATTTTGAATAGACTTGTAGAATATTATTATTATCTTTTCAGATAATATAATATTATACTTGTTATATTCAACTTTAGAAATGATGAATTTTATAAAATTCATTCTCACTTTTGGATATCTTGAAGAATGTTATGTTCGTCTTTTAAGATGATACAATATTTTTCTTGTCATATCTAAATAAAAGAATGAATAAACTTTTTTAAAAACGTATTTCTATCTTTAAACATATTCTATAGAATTTCATGTTCATCTTTCGAGATGATATGTTATTCTTTGAACTATGTTTGATTATAGAAATATCAATTTTCAAAACCCTATTATGATATTGAATCTATGTAGAATATTGTGTCAGTCTCTCGAGATTGTACTTTATTCTCAATGTAGTATTCGATTATAAAATAGGAGAAAATCAAATTTACGTGGTGATACACAATTTTTCCCACCAGGGACCTTGTAGACCGGGGGTGAATGTTTGTCTAAGGGAACAAATTTGAATACACCTTAACTAACAAAGGGCTTTGTACCTTATCGATCATATCATATTGATTCATATCTCAAGGATTTAACGCCACTAAGGAGCGTATTGGCTCTGGCCATAACCACTATCTCTGGTGCCATTTGGCGACAAAACCACTT